TGTTCATATATTTGGAGACTTGTTTACATTTTTCGGCAAAGAGAGAAACACAACAAATGAACTTGTCAGTGATATGTGCCACAAAGATTTCGAAACAGAGGACCCATAGTTGTATTATAGTAGAGGATTCCTTTGAATGTAATCATGAATTTCCTGGGGAAAAAAAAAAACAATGAAGATACATATGATTATTGAAGCATAACTCTTATATAATATTTAAAGAGTTTGCCGGATAAATACCTTTGGATAGTCCAAAGGTCTCTCAATAGGACCATGTCGACCGTAAAGTCTCTCAGTTTCATTTCTTTGGCTATCGTTTCTGGAAGAACGGCCCCAAATGCTGAACTTCATCCTCCATAAAACTGTAACAAAAAAAAAGTAAAATTAGCTTTAGATCATGCAATAGTCAAGTAACATCATGTAATAAAGAGATGATGATGAGATTACCGAAAGCGGAGCAGGAGGAAAGCTAGAAAAAAAGGTTTCAGATGCGTCTATTGCATAAGACTCAGGGGCGTTGGACCAAGGATGGAAGAAATTCGAACCGGGACAATTGACGTATGTTTGCTCCTCTACGCATAGGAGAGAGTATGCTCTGCAAAAGATCAAGGAAAAAAATAAACAAGAAATTCGAGTATGTTAAAAGAAGGCTCTAAGAGAGTATGTACTCAGCAAAAACACGAACTCAAATAAACAAGAAAGTTGTTTGACCAAAAAAAAAACAAGAAAGTTCGAGTATTTAAGCATCAAAGTAACCTTGATTTGAGTTCTGTCAAAAACCATGTACTCGAAGACTTGATTAGAGGGATTAATCTCAAATCCGTTTGTGCCTCTTCCTTTAGTACCGTAAGAAGTAACTGCAGAAACAAACGTTCCCCAAAAAGAATGATAGGAATCGATAGCTTGTGCTGCAAGCAAATTCGAAACAAAAGAGGAAACATTCAGAAATCTGTACCGTTTTGGAGAATTATAATCGAATCTTGACGATCGTGATGACAGAAAGACCCTTCGTAACGTGAACCGCACTCTGAAATCAGAGTCACCAAGCATCCCGTGAAATCAGAGTCTC